ATTGGTGTTTATTTGTAAATATGCAGTTCCTCCTTACTGGAATTTTTTCTCTACTCATGATAAATATTCCAAATCAAAATCCTACTTCAGATAGATTAGTAACTGGTAGGAGCACCATGGGTATTTTAAATGAGTGTGCAAAACAATCCTTTTTATTGTATATTTTAAACATGACTGACATAAGTTTCTTCTTGCTCTCTATACATATACTGTGCCTCATATTGAGATATGGACCCTAATTAACCTCTCTTTAAATCTGGGCTGGCTTTAGTTTCTTACTTAAACAAAAAGTGTGAGCAAAAGTGACTCAGGACTACTGAGTTTAGGTCATAAGAATCCTTGCAGTTTCTTCCTACATCTTTTAGACCACTAACTCTTAGGATGCTCCCTCAGAATGCAGCTGCCATGCTGTGAGAAAAACTAGCCACACAGAGTGATGACATGGAAGTGATCTAGTCAACAACTCCACCTGAGCAACTAGCTGACAGTTAATTTAGATATCGAGCCAAGTCTAGCTGTGAGATGACTCTAGTCTTCATCTGAGACTGCATAGAAACCTCAAGTAAGAATGACCACAGGATCATGACAGTTAATAGTGTATTTTTGCCTTAAAATAGTGAATTTCAGAATAGTTAAAAATATCAATTGATAACCTAAACATCCTTAAGAGCTTTACAATTAAGTGAAGAAGAAAGACACAAAAGTAGATTCTAATAACCATATGTAGTAAATACAATGAAGAGTGTGTGCATAATGCTATGAAGAAAATGAGAAAAGAAACCCTGAGAGAAGGTACTACAACCCTCAGAAGAGGATTTCTACATTTAAAATATAACTTAAAAGCAGAATAAGAATTTTTCTGGAAAAGAAAGTCTGTTAATGACAGAGGAGAATGGTGTTAAGGAAACTATAAGCATTAAGATTTTACTGGATTCAAATTATTGGGAGACAATGGTTAGAAATGAGTCTGGGGAGAAAGGCAACGATTCATATCATGCAGGGCCCTGTTGATTATGTAGAAGATAGAGAGACATTGAAGGCCTCTAATCTGAGAAGCAACATAGCCAAATTAGTTTTTAAATCAATTGTCTCAGGCCATGTGTGGATAATAAGTGGCAGGTTGAAAGTGGAAGGAAAAAAAAACTGGTGCTAAGGCAAGGGAAAGAAACCATTGTAATAATTTAAGTGATATAAAATGAGGTCCTGGCCTAAGTATACACAGAAAAGTGGGAAAGATTTAGAGTATTATGAAGAATATATTAACAGAATTTTTGATGGATTGAATGCAGGGATAAAGTGAGGGAAAAATCAAATATGATTTCCATGCTTCTTGCATGAAATAGAGAAAAAAATGTGATACAAATAAGACTGAGGAAAAATATTGGTTTGAAATATTGAGTTTAAGGTGCCTGTAAGAAATTAAGCTAGTGACTTCTAGCAAATCTTGGGTATATAAATATTATGCATGAAAAAATTAGGGTTTAAAATTTATTCATTCATTCATTCATTCATTAAATTATTGTTGATTAAATGACTAAAAGGTGCCAGGCACTACTGTAGGTGATTGGATTACATCAGAGCATCGAAGACCAGTATCATGGAGAATATATTTTAATAAAGGAGACAGACAGTAAATAATCAACCTAATAAAAAATAATAAATAAACAGTGAGTGAGTGGGGTGTTATTTTAGGTAGTGTAGTTAGGAGAGGAAGGGGATCTAGATGGACATGGCTTAAAAGGAACATAAGAAAAAACATATTCCAAAAGAAAAAAGAAGAGGGGAAAAAACGTGTGTCAGTACAGTGACAGGTCAAGGACATTAGGAAATGAATCAGACTATTCTCATTTATCTAATGAAAGATGAAAAGTTTCTCAAGGGTTTATATAACTTGCTGGATAATCCTTTTTAAATTTTTTCTAAAATGATCAAGACCATTAATGTTAAATGATTAGTGAAAATCAAAATAGGTAATAGCATTTTTTAACATAATAGAACATCTCTGGGATGTCACAGCAGTATAACATATATAAAAGAAGAATATCATACAGTCTCTTATCCAAAGAAGATTAACTCACATAAAACAGCTCACAACATAATCTATTATATAATTAAGAACTTACTTTGGTAATTTTGGGTATAAATATTTAGAGTTAACATTCTTTGTTCCAGGTGTTGTATATGTACACAGTTTCATATAAGCTTATTTTTGTGCATATCTTTGTAGACAGTACTGGCTAAAATGTGTGTAGTGTTTTATAAATTTCAAAACAATTTTGTACCCATTGTAGGCAAAGAAGGCTACCTTACATACATAAATACCAAAATTTTTCTCATGTATGTTTTGAAAAAAGCAGTATTTCTAAATCTATGTTATGAAACACATTTAATCATTTTGTTCTAAATTCCAGCTACTAACTTAATTTACAATAACCAATCAGAAGTTATTTTGAAAACAAAAGTAGATATACCATTTCCTTTCCAGAATAGAACTCTTTTGCACAGCCAATGTAGAACACATGATACAAATTGCTTCGTGGACTTTCTTTCTCCCAAGGAGAAATGTTGTGTGAATTGCTATGTACCTATAAGCTATGATGTGGTCCATGACATCACAAAATTGGCCATCTGGAAATGTAGTATAAAAGAGCTTTACTAACAGAACAAATCACTAACTAAAAACAAACAATACTCAGAATTATGTTTAAGAAAACAATGAAATTTTACTTATTTACTAAAGAAAGTAGTAGAGTATTGGTGAATTTGTGTTGTTTAGTTACAGTGTCTTTCAGTGGTGTGCAATACAATCTTTGGTTTATTACTAAGCTTTTCTTATGGCAAGTAAGTATGCTAAGACCCTGTTTTTATTCATAACACAATTATCACATATTGCTTACTTTGGGTCTTTAAATATTACCATCTTCTATCAAACTCTTCTGGCAAAATTTCACAGCATTTCTCTTCTTAACTCCTAGTTAAAAATGATCTTCTAATGCCATGAAATATAGGAAAATGGAGACTTAAAGATGTGTTCATATAGGAGTTTTGGTCCAATCATTGATACTGTGAATATGAATGAGATCAGAATAATTTTTATCCCCAGAAAAAAAAGCACATATTGTCATTTAAAGAACACCTGTTGATCTTGAGGTGATAAAATGGGTATGATTTTGTTACTACATTACAGTTTTGTGTGTCTATTAAACACAGCTTCTCATACCCAAATAGGCATGCTACCTTGCTTACTGAGAAATGGAGCTGGAAAAAGATGGAAGAAGACACTCGGAGAAAAATGAAAAGTGTGTGTAAAAACAAATGATCAAACAATTATGTTGTATTTAGAACAGGTAACAAAAATTCACTATTATAACCACCCAGCTACTGTACCTTACCAATTCATTTTCAAACTGTTCAATGATTCTAAAGGTTTGAAAATGATAAAATTTCCAACAATTTTTATGTATGAATCTTTGAAAAAAATACTCTATGCTGATTTATCCTATATAGAGAGATAGAAAGAGGAAGATTAAGAAACAAATGTAAAACTATATTTTTAAACAGAGTCTCAGATATGTTCTAGAAAGTTATCCCAAAGTGTTTCAGATGTAACTCTGCAGTTTTATCTATTACCTCAAAATTAATTTTCTGTTCTGTTTCTGCTAGGAAATAATGGGAATTTCCAACTGTGGTTATGATTGCTAGGATTATCATTACACTAACAATCACCAAATAATTCCATTTTTTCCCTCTTATTCTCTATTCTCTTTTCTATGCATGATCCAACTCTTCAAAAGGAATTTTCAAAGTTTTTCTTGTTATTAATGTTTCATGGAAAAAATACCTCAAGTTATCCCACACACAATGACAAATATTCATAATATCAGGATGAAAATGGATGCAATGTGATGAAAATCTTAGGGGATTATAATTTTCAAAAATATTTGAATCCTGACATTTCCTATATTAAAAAACAAATGAAGAGTTTTCAGAAAAAAATTAGTAGTGATTTGGTGTAAAGTATGTATCTGATATTGCAAAAAATTTACCCTCATTTTAATGTGGAAGTAATTTCCATATTTCCAGCTCACATATTTCAATACTTAGGAAGTACCATTTCTAGAAAAATCAACAGAAGACATAGCTCAAGAAGTATTAAAGTTATAACTATATGAAAGAAAGGGCTTAGGGTAGTTGCCACCTCCTCCCCATGTTTTTATCTTATGGAGAACACTTACTTTTTCCAGCTTCAAAGAAATGAAGTTGCTTGAGTATAAACAGTGCAGGGTGTGTAAGAGAGTTATTTACCTTTTTCTTTGCTCATGGGAAGCAGCTTTTCTGCCTCTTTTCTTGAGATCTAAGAAACAGAAGTTTTTGGTAGCTTAGAAGTAATCATTTTTTCTATCCTACTGTCCATCCATCACTGAATTCTTCCTCAGGAATAAACACAAGTCAGATACACTGGGAAATTATATTTTTGAGTATGACTGCGTGTGAATAGGTGAGATTTCAGCTGTGTGTGGGTGAGTGGAGGTCACAAACGTAATATCCCATTTATATGAAGGAAAGAAAGCCTGTTAGTTATTCTATGCACAGTATTTTAGATGACCAAAAGCCCTAGATAGATAAATACACATGAATACCTAGCCAAATAGATTATTTCAACAGGCTATTCATAAATGGCATAAATGGCAGTGGATATATATGCATATATAATAGCTAAATACTGTGTGCCTTTAACCAAAAACACTCAATGACAGTCTGCACTACAAACTTTGTTTAAAGCATTAAATACGGTATCAAGTCCTCTGTCAATGACAGAAGAAGGTTCCAGACACTATTTGTTTCATAATCCTGTGTTCAGCTAACTCTCTACATCTCTGCAGCTCAAGTTACCAGCAAATGCTGAACTGGAGCACTAGAGTCAATGCTTGTTGGTTAACAAATTCCCCGCAAAATATCTCCCAAAGCCTCAGAAGCTGTAGTGATGTCATATCCGTTGCCCAGGTCTCCACACCTCTCTCAGCAGTTACTCCCTTTATCTTTCCCTCTGGTCAAAACTTTTGAACGGGGCTGGCTGGATAGCAAAGGGAGAGGGTAAACCGGGGCGCAGGTGGGAGCTGCTTCAGCACCTCGGTCAGCGCCCGCCGCAGCCCAGCCCACCGTCCTACTCGCAGACACCCAGCTCTGAGAATGCCTGCGGAATGATCGCCCCCCAGGGCGGCCGCCGCTGCAGCCGCTCCCGCTGCTGCTCCAGCCACAGCCGCTGCCTCCACTCCGCTCTGACTGGCAGGCAGAAAGTGCAACTGCTAGGGGAAGGTCTGCAGTGAGTGGAGCGGCCACATAAAAGAGAGTACAGAGGGGCAAAAACCTACATCAGAATGCAGGCGACGTCCAACCTACTCAATCTCCTGCTGCTGTCTTTGCTTGCTGGATTAAATCCTTCCAAGGTATGGGCAATATTTTAACTATTGTTTGAAATAAATGTGCAATATGTAACAAACTGACCAAAAAGGCAAATAAATACGAAAAAAAAAACGGCACGAAAGACAGCTCCTCTAGCTGTCTTGTGGTGACTGCCGTATCCCCACTGCTTGAAAGATACGGTGAACTACCGGAGGAACAGCTCCTCAAGGTAGAGTCCTGGCGAGAGGGGGTGGGGACAAGGAGCGAATATAATGTGCATGGGCAGCGGGCAATGCGGCTCTAGGGGGAATTTAGCTTATTCCGTATCCAAGTGCTTAACGTTGTTCTTAAGTCGGACGGGTAATGCAAAGAAAGAAGGAGTTAGCAGTTGAAACAGTGCAATTTTTAAACATGTATTAGGAGGTGGTGAACCTTTTCTTTGTTGAAAACAGAAAGCATTCTCCAGCTGATTCTGGTCAATAACTCCCATCGCAGACGTGCTGCGGTTTGCGTCCAAAACATTTAGGATGCTGCTTGTAACACACGCGGCAGATCAGCAGAGCCGTAGTCTCTGCCATGGCTGAGAGGCTTTGGTGAAAGAGGCTTGTGTTTATTTGCTTCTTTCTTTTCATTAAGGAAACTAGAGGGCACTGAGGAAGTTCTGATCACCACTGTTAAGAAACAGGAAGTGAGAATCCTATCAAACTAAGGAGGGCAATAGGAAGGATGAGTTGTTTCACAGCCGTTGAACTCTGAAAATTATCCAGTACGGACAATTAAAGTGAACGCTCACCTTTTTTGATTAAAAAGCAGAAAAATATGGAGAAATGTTTTCAGCGATGTATTAGAAAAGTCTTGATGATAAAGTGAGATAATTTGAGAACTTCAGCATTCTAAGAAACCATAATTATCTGAAATAAGCGATAAGGCATCTGGTAAAAAGAAGGGCAAGATACAATTTAAAAATTATTTCACTTAGTTAGCTTGTCAAGAACAATTTGACAAAAGGAAAATTGATGCCCTGTAACAAAACCATTTAAAGCTGTATTTTGGAAAACCGTGAAGTTATTTGTAAAGCTTTACATCATCTGTGTAGTATAGAGAAATTAAGTTTCTTTTAATAATTGAACAGAACTAAACATGTAACCAAGCATAATTTAATATTGTGGTTGGCTGAATATTTTTAGGCCTAATATGTAGGTTATAGTAAAATTTAGAATCATATCATATATACTTTTAATTATTTCTGTGCATTTTTCATATTTACATAGACCTGATGAGAATAAAATCATTTCATCTTAAAACTATGGTTATGCTGATAGTGTCACTGTGAAGTCTTTATATGGTGTGTGAATGCCATCTTAATGATCTTAATGGAATATTTTACATATTAAGGAGTATTTTAAAACCTTCTATATCTAGTAAAAAGTGCTTTTGCTTTACATTTTTTAATTTTTTGTCCTCTTTGCCTCTGGATCTATAGTGACACATTCTATTTTAAGTCTCATCATATTATTTTGGTTACAACTTTTGAACATATTCCATTATAAATCTCTCTTGAAATATTTTTGATAAAACATATTTAAAAACAAAGCTAATTATTGAGTTACTGCAGAAAAAAAGGTCTTGACTAAAGTGAGTTTTGTCATGTTTTATAATGAATTCAAAAATGCAGACCTTTACTAACAACTCTTTGTGTGATTCACTTTGTCTGATATCTGTAATACATATCTTCACTTCCTGCAACTCATTCTTTCCCCTAATAAAATATATATAAACAAAGAAGAGCTTCTGTTAAATATTGAGATAAGTGCCCCAAATAAATGATGCATTTTAGTCAATATGATCTTTTCTAGTATTAAGTTTATTTCTGATTTGAATTAAACATATTACAAAACTTTTCTTCAGTCTTAAATGTGGCTGCTTAGTTCAACTGAGCTGAGAAATCCAAGGAAGGAAAGGCATACATTAACTTTCCAAACTGTCTTTCAGCTTCTAGATACTGCAACACAGTGTGCAAAGAACAGAAGATGGTATTTTGTTCTACACCATACATGACATTATAGAGTGCACTGAAGTGTTCATATCAGTGTTTTTAACCTTTAAAAAGTTCTGAGACTGGAAGGCAAAATATTGTTTTAAAAAGGTGAATAAAAGCTAGTTTTGTATATTTTATCAAACAATTGTTGACCATCAAACTATTTCCTCCACACCCCACCCCAAAATCACAAGTGGCAGCACTGAATTCTCAAAAGAATTGTCAATTAGGTTATGAACTAGGAATTTTCTCATATTTTATTAGTTTTTGTGCTAACTACTTGAGTATAGTTAATAAAATTAGCATTCATGTACAAATTATGCTTGGTGAAATTGAAATTAAAAATCCAATAATGTACTACCACATAAGACCACAGTTTTTGGATAACTAAGTAACAAATAAGTGGTAACACTTAAAGGTACAAAAGTTCTAACATCTAATTTTTTTCTTATATACTAATATGTTAGGACTGATTTCATATTCATTTATTTTTAAAAATTCATTTAAGTATTCTATATTATACTTCATGTTTACAGTAAACATGTATAATCACACATGGATACACACAAACTGGCTAAATAGGAGTGCTCTTAAAATTGAATAGAATTATTTTTCACTTGTAAGATTGACACATGTATCAAATATTGGAAATCTAAATGTTAAAAAATAATGATTATATGTTTATCTGGAAATAAAAGGGCTTTCAACAATAGTACCAACTCCATTTCATGGATGACTATATAATACTTATATTTATGATTAATTTCCTGGGAATTGAGACTTACTGATCTTATAGGACATTTTATAAAATGCTTAAGTATCGCCATCTTATGGCAAGATAAGTTCCTTGAAAATAATTTTATTTTTAAATTTAAAAAAATGCCCAAACTTCTATATTCACAAGATGAACTTGCTTTCAGCATGCATTTACATTCTTTTCTCTCACTTAATATATTAGAAAATAGGGAAGATTAGTATTTTCCTTTGGCAAAGAAAGTCAATTCACCATTAATTAATTTTTGTATTTTTATATAGACAGATTATCAATTTTCCTCTCCGGAAACGTATGAGAACTATGTTTTCTTAATTAAAGTATTATTAACAAGTTCCTAGTTCCATTTAGAAAATTCACTGGTATATCACTTTGCCTATTTTAAAAGAGATTAATTAATTTCATTTGTAATGGAGTATCTGATTTATAGGCAATACGCCAAATCATTCATTCAGTAAGTAAATTTTAAAACTGAAAACTTGTAGGAATTTTAAGTATTGCTCCATTTTTTACAGAAAGGACTATTTCTGTGTAGGAAATTCCTAAGAGCGGCTGCTAGATGGCATCTCTGTGCTTTTAAACTAAAGGCATTCAATTGTAATGACCTTGATAGTATGAGAGTGAACCTATTTTTTTCTTTTACAAGATTTTTAGCAGACCATTATTTGAACAATGTAACAAAATAGTAATCCCTGTGAATCAGAACCATGAATTTCTGTGTTCTGCAATGCTGAACTATAAAGAAAGGAGAATGAATATAAATGTGACTGTGTGAGTTTCAAATGGAACATTTACACTGGGGTCAGACAGGTGGGAAATAGTTAAAAAGAGGTGACATGGGCATAGCCACACATTTCAGCGACTATTGAACTTTAAAGCAGCCACACTTGCGTAATAAATATATTGCAAAATGCCTAAGCATGCTTAGGTGGAGAACACATTTACTATCGTCTTACCTAGAAATATCTTAAATAACTTATCACCCATGGTACTTGCTCACACTCCAGACATAAAATGTAACAATGACTCAGCAATAATCTTCAACACCAAACTGTCCTTTCTGTCCAAAACAAGTCAGCCAATTAGAGCTCTTGCCTTAAATAAGACAACTGCTTTAAAGCCATATAAATAAGATGGGAACTATGAGAACTTCAATAATAATACTGCAAAATGTTTCATAACAAATCATGTATAAGTGCCCTTACTTATGTTTTGTTACTGCTATGCAAAACCATCAAAGACCTAATTGGCTAGAAGTTGACTGTACATATAAATCTAGTTAAAATTCTTATTCTACTACTTTGAAGCACAATTGATAAAACAAAAAAAAACAGCAAAAGAAAGAAATTGAGATCAGTATCAATTTGCTTTACAGTTCACCTTAAAAATATTCTTTTGTATCATTTGTATGCCAGAGACATACTCTATACAAGATCAACATAAATTAGAACAGAAAATACGGATCAATGGCATTGGGCAAGGACCTGAATTATGCACCAGTAAACCCTGATATGGTAAAAAGTGAAAAGTTCAATGTAACCCATCCATGTTTTGAGAAAGCAAATGGCTTTCCCACTTTGACTTTATCCCATCCTCCTTAACCCAATTCAATTTTTATTTGGGAGAAAGTATTCTTTCTCACTCTTTCCCTTGGCAATTTGGAAAGATTAAAATGTAGTGCTTTCCTCTATTTTCTTTTAAATCCTATTCCCTGTAACTTTGCAAGTGTTCTCTTTAAAAAATGACTACTGTAATGATTGATAAGTGCTCTTCCAGGAGGGAAAGCAGTACAAGGCTGAGAAACATAGGGGGCAGGACTCAGAGTCCCTCATTTCTCATCCCTACTTTGCCACTAATTAACTACAGTATATATAATTTTGAGGAAGCTGTGATCTCAGTGCCCTCACCGGTAAATGAAGTGCCTACATGTTCTTAAAACATGTTTGTGAACCCGAGGATGGCTGTGCTATGGTCCACGTTTGTGCCCTTCTCTGCCCAATTCATATGTTGAAACCTAATGCCCAAAGTGTTTGGGTATTAAGACTGATGTAAGTGTCTCTAGAGAGATAACTCCCTCTTCCCACCATGTGGGGCACAACAAGATTGTGACCTCGAAGAAGGCCCTCCCCTGACCATGCCAGCACTTGATCTTGAACTTTTGAGCTCCAGAATGGTGAGAAAGAAGTATCTGTTTATAAGCTCCCAGTCTAGGTTATTTTGTTATGGCAGCCTGA